TAAATTGTAGTGTTCGTTAATTCTATCTACTTGACTAAGACACGTAAATAGGCATGTTTCGTTTTAATGACTGAGTAACGGGTTGCGATTGAAACAATTTGTTAGTTTAAACATTTTCTTTTCTGGGATCYAAAATCCGTTCTTTATGCCGTTGCTTGGGTTGGAAGTTCATGGAGAACAGGAGTGGTATTGTCCGTTATTTCGATTTGTGCWGGATTCTGAAATCCCTCTGGGTTCATTACAGGTTGTTGAATAGGGACCTGCTGTTGAGTTKGTCCACTGTTGTGTCCAKGTTGRTCTGATTGAWGTTGAACTGGCGTTGGGTCGTCCTAAAAGTACAAAACAGTGAATACTAAGGCCATGGTCATTCGGCATTCAACGCCTTAAGATAACAAGAGGTTTCACCATAGTTAATACAGGGGGAAAAGAAAACAAACTATGGTTTTTGATTACATTACGGTGGATTTTTCGATTTTTAAATTTAAACTGAAGCTCGCAAGGGATTACGGTTGATTACGGCACTTTGATAGACCTTAACAAAAGGGACAACTATATGATTATTGTAGCTAGGATTCATAATTAAAACAAATATCTAGTTGTCTCTAGCTTAGTTTTTTATATAAAAAAAAGTGACACTGTTTCCTACAACCTTGACATACAACATAACTAAGTCATTGAAGGGCTATTAAAAATCATTTAGAATCGCTACGATAGTTGTAGCCATGTTGTGAAACGACTTGGGCAGGTTTCATGCGACGGTTGTAGGAGCAGTTGTACCGTGTTTTTTGACCTTAATGGAGACGGACAAAGACAGCTGTATTTAGTGTGTGTTTACCTCCGTTTTAAGCTTTTTGTAACCAAATCTACAGAGAGCAAGATCAACCAAGTAACCAACCAGAGAGTGTAGCATACCTATGAAATTAATACTGAGTAATAAATATGAAAAAACAACAACAACAACAACAACGACAACGACAACAACAATAAAAACAACAATAACGACAACAACAACAATAACAACAACTACAACAACAGCAACAACGACAACAACAGCAATAACGAACAACAACGACAACGACAACAACAATAAAAACAACAATAACAACAACAACAACAACAACAACAGCACCAGCAACAATAGCAGCAAAAACAAAAATAAAGCAATTGCAGCAAGAACAGTGACAATTGCAAAACTAATGACACAACAACACTATCTGACAACAGCAGCAGCAGCAACAACAACAACAACAACATCTGATAGAGTGGTGTCAAAAAACCGTGAAAAAGATATTATACGTCTTAGTACGCTGTAATTCCATTGTTTTCTCTTTGTGTCTAGTTGACTATCACACTTTAATAGTCAAATTTTGTTCCACGGGTTTTAAATGACTTCACTCTAAACGGTTTTAGGTTCTTTGCGCCTGGGTAAAGAATTCAAGAATTCACAAAACGGATGAACAGCATGATTCAAAGGTAACAAATATAACAATCAAACCATGACAACCGAAATCACTAATATTATGATAAAGAAAATGAAATTCAGAGAAAAAAAGCTGCTTTTGTAACATACCAGAAGTAGCAAAAATCCCGCCAACTATGCCGCACAGTCGTACAAGAAACGCAGTCATTGAACGGTACTGGTATTTGACACGGACCATTATCGATGACATGTCATATTTGAAGAAGATTCCTATGAAAATATTACAATTTAAGTCAAGATTCGTTAAAACGGACACGATCTTGCGCGCAATAGTGAATGCCAGCTTCAAAGGTCGCTTCCAGCTTCAGTTTTATTGAAGTTGGGAGTTTTTTTCTGTAATTCTTGGGTTGCACGTTACGTCGCCAAGGTTATGCCAATTAACAATCCGCCATGTTGGATGACAACCACATCCAAGCAGGCGGCCACACGGTGAGGATGTTCTCACTCTGCCAATAGAGCTACTTTTCTCACTCGCCGAGAAAGCGAGAGAAAAAACCGGTATTTTTTTCTTGCATTCTCGGCGGGTGAGAATAGTAGCTCTGTTCGCAGAGTAGTTGCCGTTCATCTTTGTAAAACTTGTGAACAATACATGATCTTAATTCGAAAATGGGTAGTTTTATGTGCCGTTTATGGCTGTGGAAACAACAACGCACGTGACAAAGACAAAAAAATCTACAGGATTCCAGAGCTGAATGATGATGTATGAGGGATTTTCAGTCGCTAGTGAAATAAACGGCCAATTTCTTCTCCGTTTGGTGAATTTGGGGAGCACTTCTTACCTGGAATACCGTGGCTTCCTTGACTATGGCTTATTTCACGACTCTGTGGCAAAAACATTACAAATATTATTGGTATATTCTATTATCTTTCTTACAACTATGATAATTACATGGGCTTCCTGTGGAAGACCATGTCTAAAATAACCGACGACTTTTCTTCGTCTTCTGTTTCATTGTGACGGACTCTAATATAACGTCTGCAAAGGAGGCTAGACAGAGCACAACCTTCGTCGATTTTATCGCTAGTCTCCTTCGCAGCCGTTATTAGTGGGGAGGTTGAAGGTGTGACGTACCCTAATGTAACGTCTGCAAAGGAGGCTAGCAACATCACGACCCTCGTCGATTTTATCGCTAGCCTACTTCGCAGACGTTATTAGTGGGGAGAGAAGGTTTAATTGCGCCAAAATAATATTAACCAATCTAGTAATCGCCTGAGCGTGGAACACCAAGAATGGATAGGTCATTTAGTGCTTATTTTTCTTGGGGGGCGGGGGTGGGGATGGGGGGTGGATTAGTTTCCGACATAACCACTTACCCTTTGTGTCACCGAATACTGGTTTGAAAGAATTTCATCTTTTCTTCCAAGCATCTTAACATGTGTTGGTACAATTTTGATATAATACTGGTACATTAGTCGAGCTGCATAAAAAACATTAAATATTGATTAACGATTATACAACGTGCAAACGCGCAAAMAAAACTTGTTTCTATGAGAGCATAGTAACATGACTGTCAAGCGAACAGTTGTTGTTATTCCTATATTTCATTAGAAGAAACATCTTCCGCGTTTCAATAATCTCCTTCACGGTTCCCTTCGCCATTGAAAGGTAGCCGTGCCTTTGCTTTTAAGCGAGACAACCGTTGAGCGTGCAATGATAGATACCTGTAGGTGTGAAAGAAGGTTTCTATCATTGCACGCTCAACGGTTATCTCGCTTCGATGTCTCGCTCTTCGATGTAAAGACACGAGAAACGTTTTTAATCACGAAATGAAAGCACTTTTAAGTGTTATTAAAATAACAGTTGAGCCTTCAATACAATGATTCCCGCAGTGCTGAAAACGCTCAAGCAAAGAGCAGTTTTTCCGATTTAAAATTAAAATACATATGAATCCCAAGACAAGTTAGTCCCCTCCCGCAGGCGYTATGAGGCTCGTTCCCAGGTCACTCTCCTGACATRGGAACGAGCTTCGTAATGGCTACGAGAAGAGACTAAARACAAGTCTTCTTATTTCGTTACGGGAAAACATGGCATCAAACAAACCTTTGTCTGCAGTCTGCATGTCACCATCCAGCGGACTGATATAGCCGGGCATGCGCGTACCAAACGATAGTTGGTCGATACGGTGGGAGAAGTTCATTGCTGTAAATACAATGTATACAATAATCAAGAGTTATTGATCGAGGCTAAGCATGATATGAAAGATTATTTGTTGAGGCTGAGTATGATATGAGGAATTATTGGTTGAGGCTGAGTATGATATGAAGAATTATTGGTTGAGGCTGAGTATGATATGAAGAATTATTGGTTGAGGCTGAGTATGATATGAGAATTATTGGTTTAGACTGATACTAATACAAAGAACTAATTAGTGGTTGTCATACAAGCATTTCTTTGAATGAATATTAATGTAATTATCACGACCACAAATAAATGATAACAATAAAAAATTATTCTCCCTCCCAGTCCTCTTCTCTTATCTATTTAGACACAGGACACCCATGAAATAATTATCGTAATGGCACATTACTTGAGGTGAAAACTTTATCTGACTTATCTACTTACACTGCTCTGGAACAAGAGCACTCAGGTGGGCGTGGCCCTGTGGGTGCTGGATTGACCTAGRAATACAACAGTTTATTAGACTCTGTTTAAAGCCAACACAAGGAAATTAATTCACGACTTTCCATACGCWGGTTCAGTGACCACGAAYAAAGCATTGAACCGAGGCGTCAAGGAACACTGATCACAGATAATTTCTTTTATGCTCACTGTTCCTTGACACCTTGGTTCAATGCTTTGTTCRTAGTCACTGATCCTGAGTATGGAAAGTCGTAAATGCTTGCCGGGAAAAATATGTGCCTCGCCTCCTTCACAGGCTACTCCATCGGRAATGGACATTTTTCTGTTCTTGGTCTYCCTGTGTTAATAATCTTGACCCCTCCCCCTCCAGCAGCTTTTTTTGCCTTAACACAGGAATCCCACAGAGTTGAGTTGCCCACCAAGGAGACTAGAAGCTRCCAGCATCAATATTCATGTTACARGGGCTTGAAAATCAACTAACTTTCCAGCAGTGATGTGAAAGTTGCCAGCCACTTTATTGACTTCAAAAGAACCATGAATACGACATGCATCATGGGGCTTGTCTTTGTCCTTTTCTGAATCCTTCCTGGAAAAGAAATACCACACAAATTAATGGTTACAAAATAAGCAACTGATCAATAAGCATTRCGCAGCAATATTATTTCCTTGGGCAAAGCATGATGGGAAATCAGGGGTAACACACATACATGTAGAACGAGCAAGATTTTCTTCACATTTGTACAAAAGCTGCTATACATACTATACATGTACAGTCTGGACGCCAAATTGAATTGACACTCCATAATAATGGTGAAAATATAGCATATTGTTCAAATTGTTCTAGCCTCACCTCTCAGGCATGTATGTAGGCATATCTGATTTAAATGTTCCAATTTGACCTAGTGATCTGTAGCCTTCAAAGATATAGTGRAAATCTTTGAACATCCTGAAAAAAACATTATTTATTTGACTTAGTTAACATGTAAAGCAAGACCCAAATAAGTAAGGAATACAGCAGGAATTAACATTTAACATTGTTATATTGGTAAATTATTTTCACTGTTTTCTCGCTCTCTTATTGGACRATTCGGTGTCACRTGTCCGGAGCTAAAATCAACTGTTGACTRATCGGTCAACAGYTTGACGATTGTTGACTGCTTGCCYATTGGCGGGAAAAGGCCGCCTCGCGTCGAGTAAAAGTTTGTAAAGGCGGGAATGRTTTTTGCTGCTTTAGACTGTTTYGGCGTACCTCGGGAAACATTGAGATTCTCGGGAAACAAAACTAACCGTTTCCCTTGGKAACAGTCATTAAGTGTATAATGTTAAAGGTTTGGGCTATTACCATCCACCCCATTGGATTGATAGTGTTAAAAGAAACAAGTACATGTACTCTTACTAAACTTACCTCATCCATATTTTCTGYTCATCTGTCAACTCAAAATAAGTCTAAACAACAACAAAAAATACAGCTTACAAACCAATATCAAATTAGTACTATATTATTGGGACAAATAAAATGGGAAACCGTTTCAAAAGCCATGATGGTCAATCAGCATTCCTTCCACTGGCAAATCAAGCACTAGTTTACTAATTTGCATCATAAAACAAAATTTTCACGGATTTGTTTTGATGGAAATTGGTGAGCGAGTGCTGGATCTGCCAGTGCCTTCCAAGCTTTTATTTATGTTTAAAAATGTAAATACATGGTAATATTTTTAAAAGCAAAAACATACTCAGTTTATATTATCCCTTTAAGCTATATAAATGGAGATATTGTAAGAATTGACCTTAAAACTGACTGGAAATGGACTGTGCAAATTACATACGAAAAAATAAACATGATGGCATTGAATGCTGGTGGACCATGCCCATTTGTTATAGCTATCTACTGTCAGTTTGTTCTATACATACAGGTTCCAGTTTGAGGCCATCATGTAGTTGTATAGTTGAGCCTGATAAATCCAACACATCTACACCTAAATCTATAACGAAGTAAGAATTAAAACAATTCATATTTTATTACATGCCAAATATTGTACATAAAGTATCATGATATAAAGGTGATATTTTTCAACTTTAAAACTTAGCTAGAATAAAAATTTTTGATTGCTTCGCAATATTTTTCATGAGTATCATACATGTAAGGGGGTCTACATCTTATATTTTTTTTTTGTATTTTAGGGGGTGTATATTTTTGATTTGCTATTTTCAATGGATAAGACACTGCCCCACTCCCTCCCCCCTCCTTCCCCCACTTAACAATAGTAAAATTGTAGTCAGTTTGTTGTCTTTGTACTGTACTTTAGCAATTCAATAATTGTTCCTATATAAAGTACAAAGACATTCTTGTGTGCTTCATTGACCAATCAGATGGCAAGTTATAGAATTATTCTACAATCATAATTATTACAGTAGTTCTGATTGGCTGCTTACCATCACAATCCATGGCTATTGTTACGTCTACATTTATCAAAAGTTTACTAGAAAGGAAATTGTAAGAAAATGTTTAATGATCATAGCTAGCAGTATTCTCCGTTTATGCTACAGCGCCCATCATGGAAGAACTTTGGCAAAGTATTTCTTATTAGTATCTATTGTTCAGTCCTTCAACACGGCCGCCAATCTTTTATCTTTTGAATGGGGAATGGTTGAAATAGGATCAATATAACCTCATCAAGCAAAGTGGCCTAACACTTTAAATGATGTTAAGGTAGCAAGACTGTTATAGTTACCTGATGGTTTGGCATCATGTGGGTCAGAGTCATCGACCAGAGTGAAGATGACTGATGACGTCCAGAAAGGATTTCAAAATGTCAGGTAACTATAACAGTCTTCTTCAAGACGATCATATCACAACTACATCACTGACATATGTGTTCAGACCATTCACTCTCAAACACTTTTTAAACTTTAAAAAGTTGGGTCACACGAAAGTGATGTTTTTTAGATCATTCATGATTTCTTGTTCAGCCCGGGATTTATAAAGCAATGTACTAAGTAATCTTACCTATCTGCATCAGTATCTACTTCATAACTATATTTAGTCTCTAGAGATCTGTAATACCAGAACTCAGACAYAACCAAAACGAAAATAATGATCGAAATCAGCAAAGTCACTGCAAGAAAAAACAAAAACAAATAAGCTTATACAATGTTACTAAATTAAAAAAAAGAAAAAATTAAGCTTAAAAACAAAGAAAACTTGTTAGAGAGATTAGAAAATGCAGAAGTAATTAAAATCTACGATTGTTTTGAAGTCTTCTGTATTCTGACATTTAAATGTAACTTAGCTACATGTAAGCTTAAGTTCTCAAGTAACTTAACTTAAGTTTTCTGAAGATCGTCTAGAATTAATTTTACTTGATTGCATTGCTTTGAAAATGGCTCAGATCTTATTCACTGTAAGCTTACCTGAGCCACCAGAGGCTGAAGTCTCTTGATAGTTTTCAGGTACTTTTGGAAAAGCATCGAGTTCTGTAAATGCTTTTATAGTTTTCTTGCGATTTCTAAGAGCTCCAAGTCGACGCATTTTAAATACAAATTCAACCTTTCTACGTCTTCCGATATAGTTTCAAATCCCTAGAGGTCAAGCATAGCTATTTGATGGTCAATATATGGAATGTTTTTGATCTTTGATTGCAAAACAACGAAGAAATCAAAAGAAAATAGATTTGAAATAAAAAATTGAATCAAAATCGAGACGCCATCTTGTTTACACGTGTATATCGCATGCGCAGTGGGTTCGATAACCATGATGCCTTGCAAGGAAATGAAAGAAAACTAAACGCTCTTAGAGCGTGAAGTCGGGCTAGCTATTTTCAAAAATTGAGAAAGACAAGAGATTACATGGATGCGCAAAGAGCGAAAGATTTTCATTACGATAAGATAAAATTCGTATTCTCTAAGCGACCATGTAATATGTAGTGAGTGATCACTATAGGAAATAAAATCGAAATCAAATGGAGGAAATCAAATCAAATCAACAAACAGATTTAGTAAATATGCGATCGAGTCACTTTTCAAACCTTATTAAATATTCATGACCTTAGGATGACGTCACTACATTCAATATCAGCTGTCGATAAGTTGTTCAAAAGTGTCGCAGCACCAAGGCCACCCTTATTTTTAATTCTTTGTTATTAAGCCTATGAATTGCTCGTCAAGTCGAATCCATGCACATAACTTAGATGCTAGTTCGAAGCTAAGACATTTGTACTGGTTTGTATGCCTATTCAATATCCGTTTTCAGTCCCACGATATTAGACTTACCATAACCTAACTATCGGTTGTCATGACGGCGTAGTTGTGCGGTGCATCCAGTATCATGGCCCAGGGTTTCCAGTAAAATCGATGTACCCGAAGTTTACTGACTTGACGTAAATCTATGCGGCGATTAATTTGCATTTTGCGATGGAATATGAAGAGAGAGAAAGGGTAAATAGAATGGGTCGGTGGAAAGAGGAAAGATTGATAAGAAAGGCGATTGGCTTAGGAAAGAGCGGATAAGGAAGGAGAAAGGGCGACTGGGGCCCTCCTCCGTCCGCCTCCAAGTTAAAGAAAGACAAGTAAATTAATTTCTCCAATATCATTTATTAAGTATTTACTTAATTCACTACTTCTACGATCGTATATCGTATATGGATCTTTAGTCAAATATTAATATACACAAATTACGATGACGCCATTTCGCCCCTGGCAGAGAATGCAGTCCAAGCATCCGTGTTTTGAAAGACATCGTAAACTTGGATATAATAAATAATACACCGTTTGTTTCGAAGTGTTTTACCTGACCTCACAATATTTAATTGTAAMTTTGCWTAAACCTCGTTCAACGCGACCAATGGCTGACCTGCATGKTTTAATTCAGGCATAAAACCTCGTTGAAACGGCCACTGTCCGAGTTAAATTCCCYGAGACCWCGTTAAGTGCGACCAATTGCTGACTTTGATGGGTCAATTCAAACCTCGAACCTCGTTATAACGACCACTGGTCGATTTAAATGTAACAACTACATGTAACTTAATGTTCTATCTAGTGGGGTCACTTCAAAACATGTGCACCTGATGGCGACCTCGATCTGCAACAAGGATATTTCCATTGTCGTTWATGGCGAGCCCGGTCGGCTTCGAGAAGAAGCTAGCTGTCTTGGATGAATCAGGATCTTGTCCAATCTTCTTTATAAACTCCCCATCACACGCRAAGATCTGTACATTCAAGTTTTTTAAGTCTGCGACGGCGATGTGGCCTTCGGAGTCAGTGCACACACCAGCAGGACAACTGAACTGTCCATCGYTAGTACCTTTCTCTCCTATCTTAAACTGAAAAGCCCCTTGGCTGTCGAACACTTGAACTCGGAAGTTTCCTGAGTCAGATACAAGGATCTCACCCTTCGGTGATACGTTGATATGCCGAGGGCAGTTGAACTTTCCGTCGGCATCTCCATAACTTCCGATCGTGAACATCGGGTTCCCGTCGACATCGAAGACGTTGATTCGGTGGTTGTCGCGGTCGGCGACGAGAACACGATCTTCTGAGTCGATAGCGACNTTGTCTGATTGAAGGAGTTTGCCTCACATCCGGGAATATTCAACCGGATGTGACGCAGTTAAGCTTCTTACCTGTAGATCGTATGGGCTTCCTTTGATATGTTTTCCTCGCAAAGTAACGTTGACCTGGTGGTCCCCCTTGACTGTAGGTGTAAAACTTCCGGTATATGTACCATCGTCTTTATCTTCGATGTCTCCAATCAGGGGGGAGCCGAATGGGGAGCGTATTTTCACCGATAGTGGATCATTACCTGAAAGTAATTATTATAACCAAGTTGATCATGTGGTATTGCAATTTGGAGTCCATAAATAAAGCTGCGCGATCTGGGTACTAGTAGTCAGCACCAACCTCACCATCAGCGCCAGCAGCTACAGCAGCAGCAATAGAACTAGCAGCAGCACCGGCACAAGAACTGGCACAAGCACCAGCACCAGCTCTTGTAAATCACTATTAATGAATGTGATGCTATCATAAAGATACCACATGACCCAATAAGTCATACCTGAGCCACAAGCTTCTCCATTACGATCCATAGCAAAGATTGTAAACTTGGCAACATAACCAACTTTAGCATTGATCAGGCCAGGTCCTTCGGCATACGTCAAAAGGGGAAACGCCGAACTTGTAGTAACTTTTCCTAATTGGCTGATGACCTTAGAAAGTGCTGCATCATTAGATGTGAAGTTCACAATGTCGTTCTCTTCTGGTTCGGTCTGAGACTCGTGAGCGTTGAGTTGGGTAAGTCTGCTGATCATCTGTGGTTTCACAAGCATGACTTCTGCCTCGTTTCCATACCTGGTTGACAAAAGGGAATGATCCGAGTGAGGCATGAGGACATGATCAGATTTATATCTATTACATTGGCTAGGCAAATMCGTTGCCATGCATCGTGATCGCGGTTTGATTTATTCGCAAACGAACAAAAAATAAATGCCGAGAATAAACAAACAACCATTTAAACTTTCAAAACATAGCCCGATCGAGTTAGTGCATAAAGTATTATGGTTGCTCCAGGCAGCCCATCCCTTACAATGGTACTTACCTAAGGACATTTTCGGTAAATTCGCTGGTGCTTAAAAGATTGGCCAAGTCCAGCTCTAGGATCTCTTGCTGATTGGTCAACACCTGATAGGAAGAAATTTTATAACAATGGAATGTCTTGTAAAACATCAGCCTCTTTGAAGCCTTCGAGGGACTAACCCATCATAGCCATGAGTCTCACCTTTGCTTTGTCTCTGTAAATAGAGTCCAATGCCGCCATTAAACCGGCTGCTTGTTCTTCCAAGGCTTTTATATGTCCTTGGATAGTGTCTTGGATGGTTTTCTTCACCGTCTCAACTCTCTGRTCGAGATTTTGTCTGACTTCTTTSACTTCATCTACAGCAATCCTGTTTCGGTCAGAATGCAAGGTAGTTTTAAGAATACTTTATTTAGGGGCGTGCGCAATTGTTGAATGAGACCAAACAATAAGGACTGAGACATTTAAATGACAGAATTGCACATGTCAAGCTGAGATTTTCGTCAAGTTAACAAAAAAGTATGTAAATTCTGTGTGTATCTTGTAAAATTTGCTCGATCAAGACTTCCGAGATCCTTTAGGGGACGTCTTTTTGAAAATTTCTGACGATCATCCCCGGTACTTTTACCCAGGAGTCCCCTCCCCCGGGTTCAGTTGCAATACCACATGATCAACGTAGTTATAATTACTATCAGGTAATAATCCCCTATCGGTGAAAATACGCTCCCCATTCGTCTCCCCCCTGATTTGAGACATCGAAGATACACAGATGGTACGTATACTGCAAGTTTTACACCTACAGTTAAGGGGGACCACCAACGTTTGCTCACCTTACGACAGGTATTTTCCTGTTGCTATTATCTAGCATATTTGTAATTGTTGATCTGTATTTCTTGACAGCTTCCTTAAGATCGACGTAGATATGGTCTCTGTGTTCGTATATGGCACAGTCCCGGCATATGGCCTCGTCACATGACTCACAGAAGTACTTAAGCATCTAAAATGAAATGTTTAGAGTTTGTTTAGAGTTAGGCTTCATATCTAAGGATCTAGAATGTGGACAAATATCATTGGAAAAGTCTGCAAATTTACTGAAAATTGAATGTTCTTTTACAAACGTTGAAAATTGATTTTACAAGATATTTACAATGTTTGATCGAGCAAAAGTTTCAAGACATTTACAGAATGTACATGAAATATACAGACTTTGTAAGGACATTTTATCTGAAAAGTGAATTTCACAGTATATTTACATAATATTTTATAAACTCTTTAAACTAATCAACTTTTCCGGTGATATATAAGCCACATTGATTCACTAGAGTTCAAACATTAAAACCATGAAAAATGTTAATTAAAAGGACCATGGTTCACCAGCTTTCAATGAGGCCCTGTTTAATTTTTCACATATCCATTCACAATCCGTTTTTATCCGTTGGTTTTAATTTCGAATCTTATTCATAWAGTATAAACGGATAATAAACAGTGCGATTTTGCTTAATTACGATRTATTTTACTTTCAAAAATAAAAAAAGCTCGCAAGGGATGCCGGTTGACCATGCAACTTTATGTCAGATCTACTTCAGAAAAAAAAGTTTGCGGTCATTACCTCTCTCGGGTGCATTCCACAAAACGAAGGACAGTTAATCGTCTCCTTGACTTCATTYCCCAAAATCTCCTCAAAGGTCAATATTCGATGATCCTTGGTCTGGCGGATCCTTTTGTGCGCATGCACGCAGTTGTTACATAGATTTTCTACGCARTCGAGACAGCGTGCGGTGGCCTGGGCACTATCTTCGCAGTTTGTACATTTAGTCGGGTTCTGCACAGCGAGGACAGTGAGCATATTGTTTATGAAGAARTTGATAGGAAAAGCTTCGACTCCTTTGGCTGGGACTGGTACCAAGTGACGACATGTTGGGCATTTGATTGTTCTGTCTTGGGACCTGATGGCAGACAGACAGACAGATTGAAATGGCTGTGTAAAAAGATAAATTTAACACCGTAAAAAAGTAGGTGGAATAAATTACGGATGTTTCGAACTTAATCCTTCGTCGGAGTTAAAACGGTGTTAAATTTATCTTTTTACACAACTGTTTCTTTAGAAACACCGACGCAGCTCACACTAGTTTTTGATCGACAGAAAGATGGATTACATTATGAACAAGATATATCTCAACGTTTCTTACGCATTCTAGACATTCAAGCTGATAAATAATATCGTAAAATAACTTCAGAGGCATATATKTTTTGTACAACAAAAAGGGACTGGAATGGATGCTTCTGAAATTATTCTGATTTCCACTAAGTTTCCTTGATATATTGAGTATTRAGTATTGAGTCTTGAAACTGAGGAGGTTTTTGATTAAACGAARCTAGTTTTACACAGACAAGAAACAAGCTAATYTTGTGCGTCAAGATCAAACGTAGGGTGGTGAAGTAGAGATGAAATCACTAAGTTTCCGTGTAGGAGTTGCAGATTCTTCCATTACGCTTGAGAAAATTGATGAGCAACTTATATTTTGTAACTTGATCCAGATTTAAATGAAMATTTGTCATTAAAAGAACCAGCAATTTTCTTTGAACGACCTGTGTTCTTGTGGTGTATTGTTCGACAATGGCTACCAGTCTGCAATAACTCCATTATTACTCTTGTTTACATTGATCAACGATCAAAGATCAGATGCTTTAGATAGTTAACTCAAARTCATGTCAAATTTTCGGTACAAATTCTCATTCAATATAGAAAAAACTAGAATTGAAATAGCATTTTTAACTGTTTAAGTTAAGCAAAGTTTAGAAAGATAATTATCTTCATTTTCATAATTATAATCATCATAATATTTTGAAAAGTTTTATGACTGGTGATCGACTACGGACGAGAGGTTTCAGAGCAGAATTTTTATACAACATTTAWCTTAAAAATAGATTTAAATTAGCACATCTAAAATGACTAGCGTATCAATGATGTCGGGCAAGAAAACAAGATGGCGGCTCTAATTTGTCGAGAAAAAAAGTACAATTTCTTTGTTCTGGACATGATAATCGATAAKATGTAAACACAAAACGTCAAAAAGTCAACATTGCTGCTTTCAAAAATCTATCTTGCATGAAAAGTGTCYAAATAGAAAATTGCAATGATAAAGTTTGTGAGAGCGCCACTGAATTTCGCCATTCAGGGCCAATCTATTTTGGGGTACTCATTGTCGATTCGTGGTCTTTTGATCAGTAATTATCACAATTAAATTCCAATATTTTGACGTGTCAGGTCGATAGTGTATTCACTTAGCTGATTTTGACAAATTTTCAAGGATTTTCTTGAAGTTTCAGTGTCATTTTATGAATTTAAATTGAGATATATTGCGCAAAATTCTTCATTGCTTCGAATCTCCTGATCACCTGKGTTTAAGAACATTATTCATAATAGTATAAAATTATATCAAAGATATTATAGTGATAAAAAGCATAAATCTAGCGCAAAACTTAGTGAATTTCAATGCAAAAATGCAAGTCATTGTTAATCATCCAAAAATAGCGCTCAATTACGAAGTCAAAGGCCATTTCAATTCAAACATATAAAAAATTGCTGCCATTTTGAATATTTCACTTACATAAAAATTACAATAAAAATCAAATTATAAGACAATGACAAAAATTTTTAATGCTGAAATCGAAGAGGTTTTTGTATAAAACAACTTCCATCAAAAATTACCTGATACTTTTGTCCAAGCAGACGAGACARAACGAATGAAGACACGGCAGAACTTTAGGATTATTATATGTTTCCTCACAAATCCCACATGTTAGTCGATAATGATCTGTAATCTTATTCACGAGTACTGAATTCATGCTAAAATTGTCCAAAAAAATCCGTTTTTTTGCTAAGAAATCATAATTTCAGTGAAAGGGAAAGAATTCACGGTACAGTGATCGGATTTGGACAGCTCTTCTATTGCTGAGCAGGTATTTTGATCGCYCAGTGGGTTTTCAACGGGTTGTGCCTGTTTCTGACAGATTTTGACATGTGATGGTCACTCCCAAATAATATAATTGAAATCAAGAAATTTAGTTAACGCTTAGATGGGTCTGTGGTCCGCAAAGTGGCGCGACGCCATTTTTAAAGCAAAGCATGACGGGAACTTTTTTGCACGCCAAAAACCCCTAAATAAAATCCGCTTTTCTGGTTTCTTCACGAAAAACGGGCCCCAAACGTTCATTCTTGCAAATACAACAATATTTTGCCTGCTACAAAAATTGCGAGAGCTAAATTTCCCATCATACTTTTTATACAAAATGACGTCGTTGCACAAGACAGATTTTTATTTTATTTTGAAATGAATATTTTAAACGATAAACCTTTTAGTTCTCGTTAATACTAAAGTTGCCAACGTTTCAGCTCATTATTTCTGAGGCGACAATATCTGGTTACACTATAAGGTCATCTCAAAAAGTGAAAATTGTTAACCAACTTCACCCACCAKGATCTCTATTTCCAGCCCTTCAGCACAAACGTCAATTCTCCAGAAAAATTAATGATTGTAWAGTTCTAACGTGACGTCATATCKACGTCACTATATTCAATTTACARTGACGTCAAAGCTTGTTTACAGTCRAYACTTACAACTTCGATAAGAAAGATTATAGTAAAAACCTTGATTAAAATAAATATTCCTCTAAAGTGATGCAAACCTTTAAGAATATAAAAATATTCAAAAACAACATTAAAACAGTAATTTTCATTTACGTTGCATTGAGAACTTTGATAGAAATTTTCCTTTCTGCTCTAGCAAAGACTAGTTACACTCTTAGACATGTTAGAGAACTTATGTGATAAAATAGAGCAAGTTACTGGACAACGATACGAATTGAAATTACTAAATGGCTCAAAAATTTYACAAAATTTAAAAATTCAGTAAGTGACTTTCGTCACATCTTAYTTCATAGTTTGCAAATGAATTAAACCACGTATTTTTTAAATTTTTATCTAATGGACAATGACATAATTTTTCTTARCTCAATCTTGCATACAATATTATGTTTTATGCGTTAATTTTCCCGCCCCAAAGCAGGAGAGTGAACGTCATTGGTCAGTTCATTAACCAAAAGACCTTATACATTTTGGAGGGAAAACGCACGCGCGCGCGTCAATGATTTGAATCAAACCATTAAAAAAAGCCGCCATTTTGTTGTAAAACACTTTGAATGGATTTTACGATATATAACTAAATAAATATGGTGAGAAAGCTTACTGTAAATTTAAATATTATTATCAAAAGTATCGTCCTACTTCTAATGACTCACAGTTGGAAGTATTTAAAAACACTGCACGGCTTTAAAATGAAGATTTTGTAATGACATTTTAGTAACAGTTCTAAGAAATAACCAGACAACTTTCCCAGCGGTAAAATACGAATTTTATTGTGTTTCTTTTGCTATATATCAAGGAAGACTGGAACGATGAGTAGGAAAATGTAGTTTTAACAAGAAYTASAATTTACTGAAGCGAAGAAACTGTTTTCAGCGAAAAAAGGCAGGTTTTGTAGTGATCAAAGTCACCGAAGTTGATCAAATCGAAAATAAGAAAGAAATTGCTTCTGCAGGCTTACTCAAGCGAAGTGACCTATACTAGGCTACATATCTCCAATTCGTGAAAAAATGGAATACTTTTGAACTTTTAAACTATTCAAGAGTTGACGTTTTAAGAGCTTAAGTTTTGATCCTTTTTTTTGGTCCTTAAAGTTTGTTTTAGATAAGTTTAAATTGAAAAATGGTAACGGGGTTGAGATGAATGATTTACGAGTATGTAACATCAACAGTGAAAGTCCACCAGAAAATCCACTAGTACGTTTAAAGTTTGACCTGTAAGGCAACCATGAATAAAATATGAGTTTCTTTAGATCATTTCTCTGCTTTCACGAGTAAGTAGATGAGTCATGGCGACGGTGAAAGAAGAGGAATATTCACCTCAATCGCTTGAATGCCGCGTTTGCACTGACGTATTCAAAAACCCCAAAATTCTGTCATGTCTGCATTCATTTTGTCAAAAGTGTCTCGAAAGTTATGACTTAATTGGCGCCGGCACTTCATCTTTGGTTTGCCCTCTATGTCGCAAACTGACGGAGATACCCGAAGATGGTCCCCAATCGTTGCCAGATAATTTTCTTCTCACAAACGCATTGGATCAGCTCTCGGTCAAAGCAAGCAAGGAGTATGTCCTTCATTGTACAAACTGTGAAGACAACTCAGAGGCGACTTCAAGATGTCTTGAATGCGCTGAATTCCTRTGTGTCAACTGTGTTCATGCACACAGACGAATTCGTGTCACAAAAGATCATCGGATTTTGTCCATGGACACACTGCAGGCGGACAGACAGACGCTTCATCGACCATCGTTCTGYCTTCAACACGAAGACGAGTTTTACATGTTCTACTGTACTCAGTGCGACTGCCTTATTTGCCGGGAGTGCACTATTTTGGACCATCGTGGACACAAATATACAGGTAAGAGATTGTAGGGTTTCAATAACATTATAACATTGAATAATAAAAATTATAAGCTATTATAATTATATTATAATTCTTTTTAAAGTTATTTTATATGATATTCAAAGTCCAGGAAGGAGAGAAACCAGGAAAAAAATATAAAACAACCAAGAAATATAAACTTTTAAATTCTCAAAAAATGAAGATATATTCAAGATGGCGGCCTTTTCGGTCAAAACTTATGTTACAGCGGTAAATATCATTCCTGACTAAAAATCATAATCAACGATGCTAAGTGTCTAAAAAGTTAAAATAATTATAAAGCCCTCATGAAGAAGGGGCTCTTCGGCGATGAAYTTTGCCCGACCATTATTTCCATAGTTTACCTCCAAGCATGAATCCTATGTGATTTTTTTAATGTTTGCTAAGCAAGACGTAACGTTAAGCTAAAATTAAGTTCTAGGTTCATCTCAATAGATTTGGTAATCTAATTGTTTTTGACATAAGTTTCCTTCAGTGCTTATTTCTAGAGTGATCTCACTTAAGCCGTACAACTGTACAAAGTAAATAGTGCTATTTAGTTGTATTTTGTAAGTCGTGCATGCGGTACGCAAATTACAAATTACTAAGCATTCAATACCGTCTTGCTTCAGGTCCACTTTTAGTACAAATTAGTACTACTTAGTTTTTGTACTGTTGCACGGTTTAAGTGCGATCACTCTACTTCGTTCACTTTTAAGTCAAAAGCGAGTTTCTCTGAACCATGCTTTACAATGAAACAAGAGCGTATTTTTACACAACCTGCAAAAGAAGTGTCATTTTGATTGACATCAAATGACGATTAAAGTCAACAAGTGTCAGTTTGCATAAACAAAACGTCGCTCTGAACTCTCAACTACAGTTCGTGATCTTTAAATCTTCCTACTTTGACAGTCAGTGAGTATAGAATATACCTAAACTTTATCTGTTTTCATTTCAAAATCTATCATTACAATTGATTCCCTTTGTGGGCAAGATAAAACGGTTTTCCAACTAATGACGTTTAATCGATCCATTTAGTCAAACAGTTTGAGATTTAAACAACAAAYTAACTGATACCTAACTAACTTTTACATTGGATTTTGTGCCGTAGCTCGTCTCTCTTCTGATGGTATTTTAGGTCAATATTTTGACTGGATTATCAGATTTAAGTCTAGCTAATTGCGACTAGCCAAACACACTAGATAGTACAAAAGAGAATAAGTGTAGCTCGCTTAATTGCGTTTTAATTGACTAAATGTATAAAATCCACGCCTTGAATCTTAAAACTTTACTGAGCCAGTTTTCACTAAAAAAAGAGAAATTGTCTGACAAAGGTGACAAGATTTAATTATTTTCATAWTTATGTAGCAAAGTAATCTACCAATACTAAAGCTTTCCTGTGGTTTCATTTAAACAACTCAGAGAGTAGCTCTTGACGTTTTGAGATTTAACAATTTTTCTAACATTTTTCTAACTTTTTATTGATTGACAATTAAGAAAAAGAGATGGATTTTAAGTACTGCTTTTTGGGCAAAAATAATATCAATGTTACACCTGTCATACATAACAATTCAACCTGTTGTCTTGATAAGATGAACATAAACAAATTTTAAAAACTAGTTTGTAGATTTAAATAGTAAAAGATGCAAAGAAAAAGGGAAAAGGGAGGGAGGGAGGGAGGAGGGAAGGGAGGGAGGGAGGATGGAATAATGAGGGAAGAAGAGAGGAAGGAAGGAAGGAAGGGAGGGATGGGGAAGGAAGGGAGGGAATGGGTGGAAGGAGGAAGGGAGGAATAACGAATAATGAAGGAAGAGGAGAGGAAGAAAGCAAGGAAGGGATGTGAACGGGAAAGGAGGGACATAATATATCGTCAAAAGCAGAATTTAGATAGAAAAGCTGAGATAAAGATTTAGAATATAAAGCAACAAACTGAGTTTAAATTATCTTGTCTACAGGACTGAGAGAAGCACTCGACGAAAGAAAAATTCTTATCGACGAGCTCCTACAGTTCTGCACAGGGACAAAAATCCCTCCTGTTCAAGACGCGGTCTACGAAGTCAAAGCCATGACTGCAAAACTCCGCGCTCGCGCAGACGCAGTCAAGCACGATATCTGCAGCGCCGCAGACGAATGCGTCAAGCGTATTTTGGCGCGAAAACAACAGTTGTTGCTTCAAGTGGATGACATGACCCTTGGAAAGGAGAACGTACTRCGCTCTCAACAAGATCAACTTGAGATGGAATTATTCAGGTAAGTTTGCGTAGCATTTTGAGTTATTACTAAATCAAAATATTGCTTCGAAATTTTCTTGTGGATGCCTTTTATAGCAAAGAGGGGGATTACTCGCTATCTTGTAGCTAAAATAGCCATYTTCCCGCCATCTTGGATTGTATTTGTTTTTGGCAAGAAATTACACGACGGATGACTTGAATGATTACGTTTAACGACGATAAAAGTGAAAAGCACCAGAATCACTAACTGGCTTGAAACATACTGAATTAAAACTCTTGGTTTGCGATTATAAATCCATTAAAAAATGCCATATTGGCGGATACGTTTTTTAGTAGATATAAGACCATGATTTGACTTCTTTATGCAAGTTATTCATAACTTCCTAAACATTATGACCATATTTAGATACACTAGCTCACGTGACTTCGTTGAGAAYGTCCTTCTCCATGGTAACGAAGTAGAAATCATCCAACTCCGTCAACTTATGACCAACCGTTTGCAAGAATTAAACACGATCGAGTTGGACTACAAGGAGCCTGAGGATAATGACGTCATTGACTACATCTTAGACCATGAGGCAGTGCAACAAGTTGCGACGACCATGGGTCACGTGACTACCTCTAAAACATTTGCGTCTCTTTGTAGCGCAACAGGTAAGATCCCAAAATTGATTGCTTTTGCAATAGAAAAAGGATCCCATTAGGGATATCCGACTTCATTCCTTCAGACACAAGAAATCAGCTAGCATCTTAAGGCGGCAAAATACGAGAAAACAAGTCTGTTCAATGTTAAAATGTTTTCGTACGTAGGATTCATTATAAATACTCAGTTTTGTTCCTTCTACGTGTGTTTTAATATGATATCGCGTGGCAAGAGTCTTCAATCCTCGCCCAAGAACCTAGATGGATACAAAGACGCTGGCTTGAAGCTATAAAGATTTCAAAGAACAAAAACTGCCTTTTTAACAAAAATAGTGGACGAACTCTGCCTGATTCTTATAAAGAACTCTTGACACATTAACTAGTCTTAATATTCTATCCTTTCTATTGTAATCCAATGATTTTTCGTGTAATTTCTATGCACGCGCAGTATGTTAATTGATTTTAACTATTGCGCGCTCTTAAGCAGTTATGTTACCATAGTGTTTTGTTTACATTTGTATCCTCGCGCACGAATTGTAATTTCATTTTGCCCTGATGATGGACAAGTTGTCCGAAACCTCGGAATATTAAAACAAACGTAGAAGGAACAAAACTGAGTATTTAAGTCTGTTCAATTTTAGATTCGATATTTCTCGTTTTTTTATCGCGCGCGATAAACTTGGCACGCAACAAAATCATCTGTTGCAAGTTGAAGAAAGTTGTTGCGTAAAGAAGACTCTCGGTTCTACTTTCAGATACAAATTTTGGCTTTGTTTATCGTTTTTCACCGAGATTGAAACTTGGCACGTAACAAAATCAACCAATCAGCGTGCGAGATTTCGTGCRAGGCTAAATTGATTGACAGTTTTACGTTTTCGTTACCAGGGCTTGGCATAAAATCCGGGAAAGTAGGGGTGGAGTCGAAGTTCACTATAACAACAAAAGATCGCTTCGGCAATGCCTCGTTCGAAGGTGACCACTGCAACCCTCTRCACGTGGTCATCCAAGCACCGGAAGAATTCTTCTTGGGYAATCACGTGACCAATAATAAGGACGGCACGCTATCAGTGCGTTACACACCCGTCACGCGAGGCAAACACCTGGTTAGCGTGACAGTACGAGGAAGGAAGATTCAAGGGAGTCCTTTTGAAGTGAATGTAGTAGAGGGTATTGATTATAAGMGGGTTGGACCTGTRTTCATGACTATTGGAAGAATGGTAMGTGAACGCATCAGATATATTATATTCATTAAGTATTACCATATTAGTGGACTATTCTGATTGGCTACGCTACTCGGGGTCTATTTTCAATATACAGTCAACTCTCTCGTAAGCGACAACCTCCGGATCAGGAAAAAGTGGTCGCTTACCGAGAAAGTTTTTTTACAGAGCTTATATAATGGGAAACTGAACAAAACGGGAAATTTAAAAGGTGGTCGCTTACGGGAGGTGGTTGCTTACTAGAGTGGCCGTTCAAAGAGAGTTAACTGTAGTCATCGACTATGAGTAAAAAAAGCCAACTTTGATTTTCTTTAAGAAATATCGTGAGTCGAATCGATGTATTAAGGGCAATTTCAATTTTTTTTACTCAACCCAGCTCTCATACCGTGGAACACATGCATGCCGTTATAAACTACATTTGCCGCAAACCATTAAAAGTAACCTCTTTATCAACATCTTATTTCAAAGGGTTCAAAGAGCGGCGAGTTTAAGCAACCAAGCTCYGTTACGACTGATTCTGAAGACAACATTTACGTAGCAGACTTTGTCAACTGTCGTGTCCAGAAGTTTGACAAATTTGGCAAACACTTGAAAGATATAGGCAGGTGAGACTTACATGAACTATCAATTCGTTCTACCACTCAACGTTGTGCTCTTATTGTCATCTATCGTACTCAGCCTCAACCAATAATTGTTGATATCATACTCTGCGTCATCCAATAATTGTCCATATCATTCTTATCCTTAACCAATAATTATTCACATCATACACAGCCTCAACCAATTTAATCTTTTTATATCATACTCATCCTCAACCAATAATTGTACATACCATACTCAACCTCAACCAAGAATTCTTCATATCATGTACAGTCTTCACCGATGACAGTTCATATCATGCCAGATTGAATCAATCAATAATTATTCATATCATACTATGCTTAACCAAWAATTTTGGTTATTAGTCGAGGAACAAGAGATGGCCAGCTTATGAACCCGTGTGGTGTGGCTGTAGACCAGACAGGCTTGATCATCGTCTCTGACTGGGATAACCACAGGCTGCAACTTTTCACTCCCGAAGGAAAATACTTTACCAAATTTGGAAGTAAAGGTATATYATACTTTRAAGCGATCAAATTCAAACAAATGTCTGAGAGATTTGGGARCGAGTGAAATATCGCCTGCGAGAGGAGACAAGAAAGTAAAATACGAGCTYAAAGATTATATACTGCTCATAGTKTCTTTTCAAACTGAAAATTCCGACCAAATTGATAACTRAGTTTCTGYTCYCAGGTTCTGAGCCCGGRATGTTCTTGCACCCCAGCGGTATCGCTCTAAACAAGAATGGTAACCTGGCCGTAATCGACAAAGACAACAATAGAGTCCAGGTCGTGAAGCTTGACGGRACACCAGTGATGTCATTCGGCTCACCTGGTAACGGCGACGGSCAGCTYGACTGTCCAAGTCACGTGACAATTWCTCAAGACAATGGTTACCTGGTAACCGATACCGGAAATAACCGTGTGGTGAAATTCGATGCCGAAGGGAAGTTCGAGTTGAATTTTGGTACCAAGGGRAGTAGCGATGGGAGATTAGACCGTCCCGCGGGAATTGCAGTCGATCCCGAGGGATTCATAATCTTAACTGATTTCCAAAATCATCGCATTCAGATTTTCGAGCCCGATGGCACTTTCTATGCAAAGTTTGGAAGCGAGGGAGATAAGGARGGTGAATTTAAGTTCCCAACTGGCCTTGCGCTCACGAAGGAYGGACATCTGATTGTGGCGGACAGACATAATCACAGAATCCAAGTATTCTAAATTCCTTTTTTACGAAAGATGTCCGAATAACGATAAACCGATGGCTTGACGCGACGACCTTAATGATTGGAGAGCCACCAGTGTACCGATCGATGCCCGAAATTGTCCCGACGTCGTTAAACAACTGATTGTTAATGATTCTCAACGCTTATTCATTTAAGTGCACATTATGGACAGAAAATAAATCACCGACACTAGCATGATTTTACGAAGAATTTCGGAAATCCGTCGGTAYTGCACGATCAGGTATCGATTACTGACTTTGGGCAAACAAAAAAAATGTATATAAGCGCAGTAATATCGATTAAATAACCACATCAATGACGTAGTAACACGAARTAGATCGGAAAGTCGACGGTATACCGATTGATTATCGACTGTGTGACGCCGGTATATAAAAAAATAGGATAGACAATTGTGAGAACACGACMAATAAAAGAAAGAAATAATCTAACAGAAAATACGACAAAAACAGTCAATTTAAATATTACTAGTTTGTAAGATTTAATTAAGTGGTGATTTTACATCGACCCTAGCTGTAGGATTAATATTAAGGCTATATAATAGTTCGTAGCAGACTTCAAACCTATTGCTTTCTTTCGTTCTTTTTCAACCA